GCGGCGATGAGGGCTGCGTGGCTGTTCGCGTTTCTGGTTTGCCACCGTAGTTCCGCTGTCCTCAGATCGGGCCGGGCGAAAGGGGGGGATTGGGAAAGGGGGGGGGTACGAAATTTGTTGCATGCAGCTGGTTTCGGCTTCACCGAGGGGCCCATTCCTCGATACATAGCCGCCTCTGGCGCCGGGAGGCGCCGGGAAAATCAGCTACGTGAGCTGATTCTCAAACCCCCCCTTTGCTATCCCCCCTTTCGCCCGACCCGATAAGAACTCGAAGCAAATCAGCCAGACGCAGAGTTTGTTGACGAGGTCGAGCTGTCCAGCGCCGACGGATTGCGCAGCGCCACCGCAGAGCGAATTCAGCGTTTCGCTGCACGGGTGGCATGGGCCCAAGAGCTTGTATATCTTGACGGAGCGCGGGGTTTAGCATTCATGGGCTGCGTATCGTGGGTGGAAGCTGTGAGCCGCGCCGGGTCAAGCAGCTGCTGCGCAGCCGTCTGCGGTAGCTGTAGCGTTCGCTCCAGACGGTGATGGTATTCGTTGGTTGTGGAACGTGTTTTTTTTTGTTCTTGGCAGGTTATTCTGCGATGTTCTTGTTGTCCCAGGGTGGGCGCCTCGCCGCGTTCTGAATGCGCGCCTCATGTATTCGATCGGCCCAACGAGCACCAACGCGACGATGCTCGCAGAAACGGGCAGGTGCATCAGTGGCGTCCGATCACCCTGCATTGTCGGAGCTGGCTAGAGCATGGGGGCGCCTGAGTTGGAGCAGTCAAGTTCTCCACAGCTAGCCAATGTGAACATGGCAGTTCTAGCCCAAGTTACCTGCAGAGGCAGCGCGGGATCCAACAAGATCGGGTTTCATTGGCTGTCAGTGATGCTGCCGTCCAGTCTTGCTGTGGAGTAGAGGCTGGCATGAAATGGACGCGTAGGCCCCGTCGCCCAGTGGTGTTGCGCCTGGGTGGCATAGCTTGCAGCATCCAGCACTTCGTGTGCATGGTCAGACCGGCGCTGTCGTCAGTGCCCGTGGTGGGACCCTTCCATCCTCCAGCTGGCTGTAGGGAGCATCGCGTGCTATTTCTGGCTTGCTTGGGTATGGCTACTGATGAGCAGAGTGGCGCGGTAGTGGCATGGGCGTTTTTTTATTTAGGAGTGGTCTATGTTGGCTGTGGCGACAGTCGTGTCGCGGCAACGATCACTTGGAGGATTGCTCGATCGAGATGGACAGATTCCTTCCGGCACATTATCGTGGTCAGGGCTTTGGCTGTTGGCTCGGCAGCGCAGTGGGACAGGCTCGTGGCATTGTGAGAGCAAGACCAATGGAGGGTAGTCAGATTGAGCAGTTTGTCGACGTCATTGCTGCGGATGTCGGGGGGGCGAGGAAAGGCATGGATCAGGAGTTCAGTCAGCAATGGTCAGATTGGTGTGCTGTGTCAGCGTTGCGATGCACTCGAGCTTTTCTTCGCACTGCGGAAGTCAAAGCGCTTGCCGAACTTGCCGTATATCAATGTAAGCTGCTGTTTTCTGGCGGTCCAGTGGACATTGTCGAGGGCCGCGAGATGCTTCCCTAGAGGGCCCCATTACCAAACTTGTCAAACTCCTTGGACACCCCAGGGCGCCCCAGTAGTCCCTGAGATTCGACGTTGCAAAACAAGTGGAAGCATCGCGAAGAATCGCGGATGGGGCCCTACAGACCCCATCTTTCCAATGCATTTCTCGAGCTGGATCGATCTGTGATGGCCTGGGGTGCCGAAGCTAGGCGAACTCGTCCGGTGTGGAGAAATTGCAGGGCACGCCCCGGCTCAAAGGCGCCGCCCTCGTGGCCCAGACACCCTGGGGCCTTCAGTAGCCCAGCAGGTTCGTGTCGTGCCGACGCGGCAGCGACCCCGCCGCGGGCCGTTCAAGGGTGTGAGCCCCGCCGGTAACCCAGAGTCGGCGAATGTGAAACGAGCTGGCGATCGAAAAGCCGCCGCTGGCTCAAGGTTGAGCCGTCCACGCCGGGGCCGCCACAACGCGAGCCCGCCGCAGCAGCAATGCGGCGCGCGGCGGCGGCCGCGGTGCTCGCGGCGCTGGCGCGCTCCGCGGCGCCCTCGGCCCAGGCCCGGGGCGCGCCAGCTGGCGCGGCGCTGCTGCTGTGGGGGGCGGCCCTGGCTACGCGCAAAAGTGACCCTTCGCTGGAATGACCTCTTGGTGCGGGCCCACAAAGGGCCCCAGTGGCCCAGGATAGCGCGCCTGGATGGCGTGGGCTGGGCCTCTTTCGCAGCCCCCAGAAGACGCGCTCCACAGGTCGCTCCCTGCCTGGGGTCACTCGGAGCTTGTTTTTTTTGGGGGGGGCGCCAGCAGGTTTACTTGCACGGACGGGAGGGGGGGCCTGAGCCTGAAGCCAGACGGAAGCGACTTGCGTGTGCGGCAATCACGCACGTCGAAAGGCACTTGCGCGCTTGTATTCGTTTGAAGAAGGGCGAGGGGGGGAGGGGGCGGGTGGGGCGTACGCCATGCCACCATGCAAGTAAACTTGCCCGAGTCTGAAGAAACAGGCTCTCACGCGTGCAGCCGAGGCGGCGGCGGGCGGCGCGGCGCCCGGGGGCCACGCCCACGGCCACGCGGCGGGCCACGGCCACAAGGAGCGGGGCGCCCCGCTGGAGATGCTGGCGCC